TGAATGTAATTTTTTGTCATGTTCTGTTAAAATCTGAACTCTTCCAGAATAACCCAAACTGTCTCTCCTCCTGCACTGACACCACCCCAAAAAGAAAGATCTGCTCCTAAAAGTAGGCGGTAATAGTTTAGTGGGGGGAGAGAGAGCGAGAGGAAGAGCAGTGGGGGGGGGGGGGGGGGTGTATGTTGATGCACTATTAGGTCGCCAAAAGCGCTACCTGCTATTGGAGGGGCACCTGGGATTGATGAGGCGCGCCGGCCAATGGGAGCGCGCGGATTGAATGAACGGGCTCCAGTTAAAGGGGGCGGAAGAGGAGATCGAGCCAGTCCACGGAGAAACAGAGACCCTCCGCGAGAAACGCACACGCACACACGCGCGCACACACGTTGCGTTCCTGCGAACCAGAGAGACGATGCTCCAGCTGAACTCTCGCTCTGCGCGCGCAGGAGACACCGACAGTAAGCTCCTAATTTAAGTTTTCTGGTCAATATTTTAGGGCGTCCAGAGGAGAGGACAGAGGGATCTGGTTTTTCCACTGGATTTTTTTCACCCCCACTGGTCGAGCTGAGGTAAATTCCGTTAAGTTGTGGTGTTCAGGATGTGCGGGGCAGCGCGTTAATCACAACTAACATGTTCTCAGAGCTGGGCTCGTTACCTGCCAGCAGCAACATCTGACCTTTTTTTAAAAAAATATTTTTTCTTGTGTACTCAGGCGCTGCGCTGCTTAAAAGACTAATCAAAAGATTTTCGTCTGTGAGATCATGTTACTGGATGCTGGCCACCAGTTCCCCGGACTGGGAGTGGGTTCGTTCGCCAGGCACCACTCTGCGGGCGACATGCAGGACAGAGACTTGAGTTTGGCTCAGAACACCTTTGTGGACTCCGCGCACATGGGCGCGTTCAAGCTGAACCACGACCTCTCCCCGGGACAGAGCTCTGCCTTCACCACCCAGGCCCCCGGCTACCCCGCTGCGGCTCTGGGGGCCCACGCCGCGCATGTCACGTCGTACGCCGGCTCCCCCTTCAACTCCACCAGGGACTTTCTGTTTCGCAGCCGCGGCTTCGGAGAATCCTCCCCCGCCACCAGTCAGCACGCGATTTTTGGCCCCACGGCGGGGTCCCTCCATCACTCCCACACAGACACTCAGAGCCACATTCTGTTCCCTGGGATCCACGAGCAGCACGCCACGCACGGCTCCCCCAACGTGCTGAACGGCCAGATGAGGCTCGGGCTGCCTGGGGAGGTGTTCGGGCGCACGGACCAGTACCACCAGGTCTCCAGCCCGCGGGCCGACCCGTACTCGGCCGCGCAGCTGCACAACCAGTACGGCTCCATGAATATGAACATGGGGATGAACATGGCGGCCCACCATCACCACCACCACCCCGGCGCCTTCTTCCGCTACATGAGGCAGCAGTGCATCAAGCAGGAGCTCATCTGTAAGTGGATCGACCCGGAGCAGCTGAGCAGCCCCAAGAAGTGCTGCAACAAAACTTTCAGCACCATGCACGAACTCGTCACGCACGTCTCCGTGGAGCACGTCGGCGGGCCGGAGCAGACCAACCACATCTGCTTCTGGGAGGACTGCGCTCGCGAGAGCAAGCCGTTCAAGGCGAAATACAAACTGGTGAACCACATCCGCGTGCACACCGGGGAGAAGCCCTTCCCGTGCCCGTTCCCCGGCTGCGGGAAGGTGTTCGCCCGCTCCGAGAACTTAAAGATCCACAAGAGAACTCACACAGGTAGGCCTGATCAGCACGAGTGTTCCTGTCATAAACTGAGATTATAAATAATCCAGGAACCGTTTGGAAGAGACTCTCAGATTAGACTAGATTAAATAAATTAATGCTGCTGCTGAAGCAGAAATTACATTGGCATCAAAATACTTCACATTTCAATGATATTTATTAATAATCCGATTAAAATCATTGGAAGACATTTATCAGAATAAACTTTTATTGACATGACGTTGGAAGTGCGCGCGCGCGCTCGGCAGTTTTGTGCTGCTGGTTTCAGCTGGTATCTTATCAAATATCTGGATCAGTTATGTGTGTGTGTGTGTGTGGGGGGGGGGGGGGGTCGGTTCGCTGTGTGTAGATTAGGCTGTTCGTGGCAGCCTTTTGTTTTTTTGCTGAGCTGAGGTGCCAGACGGGACCAGCAGCCTTTTGCGCATTTGTTTTTTTTTTCTCGAGGGGGGGAGAATTGTTGCGGCGCCATGAAATTGATCATGTGCTAATTAGATTTTTATTGTCTCCACGCAGCAAACGGCATGCATTTATTTCCCTCCTCCATCTAAAGGCCCACTTAGGGCGGCCTTATCACCCCCACTTCTCTCTAAATCACCAGCATGCGCATTATTTAGCCAACTCCTCTAATCTCAGCTTCAAACAGGAGCGTTAAACTTTTAACTGTGGACTTTTACGCACCGAGCGCTCGGTCTGACGCAGCAACTCCTGCCTGTTGTTTTTTAGGAGAGAAGCCGTTCCAGTGCGAGTTTGAAGGCTGCGACAGAAGATTCGCAAACAGCAGTGACCGAAAGAAGCACATGCACGTCCACACGTCGGACAAGCCTTATTTGTGCAAAATGTGCGACAAGTCGTACACGCACCCCAGCTCCTTACGGAAACACATGAAGGTAAAGATCCTCCGCCTCTGACACGGTTTGCTTTGGGTTCCAAAATGTCTAAATGTGTGTTTTTAATCATCTGCAGGTCCATGAATCCACACCGCCAGCATCAGACTCCTCACCAGCAGCAAGCTCCGGCTACGAATCCTCCACCCCCCCGGGCCTTGTGTCCCCCACCACGGAGACCCAAAGCAACACCACGCTGTCTCCGGCCTCAGCGGTGCACACCACAAACCACAGTGGCCTGTCGTCCAATTTCAGTGAGTGGTATGTGTAAAGGACTCATGTCACAGCCATTCAGGAGAACTGGGACACAAGAGGCGCAGAATATTTAGCTTTTTTATTTGAATATGTCACCGGGGGCAGATGATGAAAGGTGGGGGTGTATAATATCTGTTTCATGCTGTAAATAGTCCTGAAAAGCCCTCATTGGTTGTGATAGTTTTGTCTTTGGTGTATAGATGTTCCTGCAGGTAGCTCGCTCCTCTTAACTGGAGTCGTAGTGCACACATTACCATGAAGTTGTTGAATATTGTGACGCAATGAGGCAAACTGATTGTACCATAACATCTATAAACTGGATCGAGTGCCAAAGTTAACATTTAAACTCCCCACATGCCACAATAATTACGCTTGTGAATGTATTTCTTCTGTTTTCGCTGGGCTTAACTCGTGACCTTTTCCTTTCGTTGTGCTTTGCTTCAATTGTGAAATCCTAATCTGGAAGATTAAAACAGTTGTGCCGTTTTGACTTCTTCATTTTTCTTTCTGTATCCACATCCTTCGTGTGAGTGCGTGTAAATATCAGCAGCCATATTTATCCCATTTGTAATTAAATTATGGTATTTACCTGCTACAGATGACACAGTATTTATAAAGAATGTTTCTTTGACTATAAATATGTACAATGATGAGCTGAGTCGTTGGGCGCTCCTTTGGTTTTCTGTGCTTTTTTTTGTTGTTGTTGTTTAAAGTTTTCAGAGGTGTTTTCTTTATTGTGATAAGAATTTTACTGCATACATATATAATAAAAGGTGTCGCAAGTGAAAGGTTTCGTCAGCTTTTTAAAAAAATATATATTGCTGGTGGAGTTTGACCATCTTGTTTTACATTCAGGCTTATTTTGGAATAAATGAGGGCTTCCCAAATAGGGTGTGGGTTTGCACAGACTTTAACCCCCACGATTTCAAAGAACAATAAAGCATGTTGACCAGCTCCATGAACAATGCGGCTGTTGTCCTGTTGAATAAAATGTGTGCTTCAGAAATGAACTTTCAGAATAAATAAAATGATCTGATAGTAATACAATGAACTTCAGATTACGATGTTGATCAAAAGCAGCTCATCCTTTTATAATTTTATATTTTTGAGCTGTGAGTTTGTTTAAAAAGCCCAAATGGGCCCCCCCCCTCCCTGCCAGGCTGGACCTTTCGCTGCTTCAGGCGTCTCGGTGCACAAACATCCTTGAACTTGAACCTGGTTGAGTTCAGTCTTGGGGCCCGTTGGTCTCCGTGGTCTGATTTGAGACTTTTCTTCTAAATGATCCATGTTGAAATAAATTAGGCGCCGTTTGAAGCACTTCTGGTGTCAGGGATATTTGAGTAAAGACTTACTGAAGATTTGTCAAACTAAAGGCCCAAATTAAGACTAAATTAAAACATTGTTTTTAAAATGGCATTATATATATATATATATATATATATATATTTGCAGTAAAGCGTTTTGTTTTCTTTGCTCCATGTTTTGTGCTTCATGGGTGTTGAACAGGTTCTAGTGGGACTTGTTATTTGTTGCAGGCTGGTTCTGCAGCAGCAAGTGTCTGCGTGTCCTCAGAGCTTTGACTGCACCAACATTCTGCTGCTGCTCACAGAATGATGGAGGGAACAAAACATCTGAGCGAGAAAAATCATCTGTCAGTCAATATGATTTTAGTTTTCCCTGTTTCAAGTGAACAAAGTGGACACAGGTTCATGTTTTTATTAATATTATTTATTATTTAGCAGGTGAACCCCCCTCCTGTTAGTCTGGGACTGGCCGGCTGACCTCCTCAGCTGAGGGAAAGGTCAGCTGCGTCCATGTCGGTTCCGGTTCGGCTCCTGCTGAGCTGCTATCGATCCAGAAGGAAGCTTTTTTTATTTATTTATTTTAGTTTGCTTCCTTCTCTCTGCTCCCTGCAGTGTTTGTCCTGTACATAAGACATGCAGCACCCCCTCACTTACAAACTGGACCGCAGAGTTCACGTGCAGACTTGGGTTTTAAGACCTAACGGGACATTTGGAGCGGGACGGTTCAGATTGATGTATTGATCAGGGGAGATAAACAAACAAACAAAAGGTAAATCTCAGTTTAATTCTGTTAATTAGGACATTATTAAATAATTAACATCAGCTAAAACAAAAATTTAAATCATCCCCTTTTTACCCATTTTGTCATTTAATTAGTTATAAAATGAAGAGGGAGGCGCGCGCGCACAAACGCGTGCGTTTCAATGGGGGCAGCAGTGTTTTTGGGACATAAATGTTCAAAAGCAGCTGAAAAGACAAATGATGATGATAAAAGATTGCATGTCAGTCAGGAGGGATGCTCTCCTTATACGAGACCGCGTGCGCGTGTGTTGAAGTGCACTTGTTGGCTTGTGCGCACATGCAGCGCATCAGCAGTGTCAATCATTTTGTCATTTCTGCCCCTCCCCCCACTGTTTTCATCACATGTGCATATTTAGTGCGCGTGTGGTGAGGGGCGGGGGGGGGGGGGTGGGCTGCTTTAAAATGATGTTTATGATTCCCTGCAGAAACATTTGTGTTTCTCTTTTCTTATTTATGTATTTAAAGTGTGAAATTATTTTTAAGCGAAAATTCAGTTTTCTTTATAAAATTCTCTAGACGTGCACGAGAGCCTTCGCCTGTTTGCTCGCGCGCATCTCTTTACTGATACACTTCTGATCCAATCAGGCCACGCGCATGGACACTCGGTGATGTCAGGTTTTATTCCAACAGGCAGCAGGTGAAGGTGTGTCTGTTTTACCTTTAATGGACCACACTTTGTCTGTGCACGTCATGCGCGCGCTGACAGGACATTGTGCTCAACTTTGAACCCGGAACAGTTTTAGAGAAAAATGCAGAAAATAAATGTGAAACACCGCCCGGTTCTTTCTGCAACAATTAAGCCCTCATAATTAAAACACATTCACGTTTTTCTTGTTTTTTATTTATTTATTTATTTTTATGTGCAAACTTCTTTATAATAAACTTAAAGTAAGTTTACATTTAAACAATGATCAAATAGTTAAAAAAAATTGCATCTAAATATTTAGCTATTTCCATTTATTTTAGTTTTGCTATATTTAATCTGGCTGTTATAATAATAATAATAAGTTGTATTTTTCTCACAAACCTTCAGATTTTTATATGAACATTAAACAAATATTAATCTCAGATTTGTATTCTTTATAAAACAATAAACACAATTAATTTCACGATGTGAAACTTGCCAAATGAACCTCCTTACAGCAGAAACAACAGACATTATTAAGAGTTTGAACCGTGTTTTATTAAAGAAATAAAATAAAACGTCGCATCGTTTAATTGAATGGGACCGTGTTGCATTCAGGGACATGCAGAACTTTGTTGTGTGGGCGTTGTTAGCTAAAAGTCAAGCTCAGGAGTAATGAAGTAAAGATCAAATGATCTTTTAAGTAAGTAATGAAGTAATTGATGTGATGAAGCAAACATGAACTATCTGACCCTTCAGGGTGCAAAGAAAGCTCACAAAAATTACAGATGTCATTTAAATTGCATTAAATGCTTATTCAGAAACAAGAAGAACAAAAATGAATTCAAACCTGAAGGAGGCCATTTGCAAAGCCTTTTTCATTTGAGTTTTATCTTTAAAGTTCATGTTAAAGTCACCTTTGTGCAGCCTCATTTACATTTGTATAATAAAATCATGATGCAGCCTCACTGTGACTCAAAAATAATGTTTTCAGACTTCTTTCTTTCTGTCCTTCCATGTGTCTGTGGACCGGCTCATGTTGTGTTTCTGCTGAAGTCCATGTTCAGTCTGTCTTCCTGTTGCAGCACAGTTAACCCGCGGCCTTTCATCTGAGTTCAGCGGCCTCCCTTTCTCACACAGATGAATGTGCTTGGTTGAAAAAAAGCCCGGACTGGCTGTCACTTCTCCTGGCATGGCAGAGAAACAAACAAACCCCCACCTCCTCTCCTCCTTTAAGGAAGCTGGAGCAGGCGCCTCCCATTGGACACAAACACTACAGTCAGTAGCACAAATAGCCTCAAAAGCTAAACACGTTGGAGGCTTCATACATACATACACACACACGCATATATATATATATATATATATATATATAAACAATGAGCAAATCTCTGTCAAGCTTGAGTATGCCATTTATTCTGCATCTCTCCAGTTTATACAAAACAAATAAAACCCACAAAGTGTTAGAGTTTCACTAATTTCTTAATTAGTCAACACTTTTTCTTGCTCTGCTTTTGCAGGGAGCTCCACATCCAGCACCTTTCCAGTTCTGTTTATTAGTCACACCGTGCTGGACCATTTTCAGGTGGACTATCAAACAACCATTATCTGCAAGGAGAACACAAAACCAAGCAGGGAAACTGGGTAATAATACAATATATTTTTATATATTTTCCTCACCACACTGTCCTAGAATACACACAAACGTATGAACACAATAATGTGACAAGTTGAAATAAGATGGTAGATAGAGATTTTGTACACACACATGAAGGTCCTCCACTGCCTTTCTTCACACAAATAATTTCTGTCACACATGTGTATGTTTTTACCATCCCAACACCACGGATCAAGGAAATTTTCAATTTCCCCACACCTGTAAACATGCTGTTTTTACCTTCACTCTTTTGATCTTCAAACAGGCCGGGACTGTGCCCCCGGGAGAGTCTGCAGAGAGGTGACTGGGTGGTGTGTGTGCATTTGTTTTCCAGTTTATGGGACTGCCAGTGTGTAATGGAACAAACCTTGTGGATACATTTTTTGGCTCAAAATGGGAAAATCTGCCATGAGCTCTCCATCTTGGCCACCTAGGAGGAAGCTGAAACAGAACCAGTCAGACCTTTCCCCCAGTGTCATACATTAAAGGCATAGTTCAGATCTTTTGAAGGCGAGTTCTGTGGAAAATGTACGAACAATTAATAACTTACCTGTTGCAGATAGCTTTTTGAATGATCTCAGTTTGAAGCTTAATAATGACAAAATAAAATAAAACAGTTATTAGTGAATAACAAGCACAAATAGCAACAGAAACATCAGCTCTAACACTTTCTGTGTAGCCTGGGATACTTCAGGCATCACGTTATAGTGTCGGCTGAAAACAACACGTTATGAGGCACTGACCTTAGTGAGCAGAAGACAGAAATCTAGATGTGATTTAAAGTAGTAGTCTAAACGTTTTAAAGTTAAATTTTGTGTAAAGCAGTGAACAATGGATACCTTACTGTCAGGGGAATTTTCACAAACGTTATGGATGTTTTTAACTATGGCTGAGAATGTTAACTGCCCATGAATCATGTGTTTGAGATAG